AAAAGCCACTGGCATTGCATTTGTCTGCTTTTCTGTGATAACAAATGACTCTTAAATTTCAGGGCTTAAAAAATGTACTTTACTTCTTATTTATGTTATGTGTCTGCACCTGCAGAGCAGCTGGGACTCTGCTGCACCTGTCTTCATCATGGTGTCCAAGGTGAAGGAGAAGTCTCTTCTTGTGTCATGCTAGTTTCATGTCAGAAGGAAAGAACATGATAAAAAGCATGTGATTCTTCTAGCAACTTGATTTCAGTCATAGTGTATACTGTGTTTGCTTATAAGCCATTGGCCAGAAGAAGTCTTGTCATCAGTTGGGTGGGGATGCACAACTCTTCCCCTGGAAGCACCATAATCCACATGTCAATGAGCAGTGACATATAACCTCTTCAAGGGAGGAGAGATAAGTATTTGTGAAAAACTATACAAAGGCATTGAGAAATATAGTAAGAAAGTAATAGAGGGAGATAAGAAAAAAAAAAATATCCCTAACATTTAGTATTATTGGTACCACAGAGGAACCTAGCAAAAATATCCTTTGACTAATTATTGAAACAAAAGGGTATGAACTGGAAGAAAGGAAATGTGAGGGAAAAGTTTTCGAAGAGCAAAAAAATAAAAGAAAGAGCAGAACTTCTTCCAGAGCCAAGATTTTACAAGGAAGTAGGGAAATGTCCATAAATAGTTGCCTGGAGCCTTTGGTCAGGATTCCAGTGTACTTGAGGGGGAAGGAGACAAGTAAAGGAGGTCCAGGATAAAAGCCAAATCAGTCAGGATAAAAATCAGTCACAATTAAGAGAGCGGGTTTACAACATAAGTTGAGGAAAAGGTCATAGAGCAAGTCAAATTTGTCACTGAGGTAAGATAAGATAATGTGGATAAAGCTATTGCTTTTATTATTATTTTTTGCCCCCTTGAACTTTTCATTGAAATGTCTTTAAGAGGTTTTATATGAGAGAACTAATAGGGGGATACTTTTAAGGAGAGTTCAAAATTTAAAAGGAGCAGGTCTCCAGTAAACAGCACAAGAGTCAATAAGACTGGAGCAGAATGATTTTTCTGGCTAAAGTAAAGGCAGAATGTGAGAGCAAAGCACAGACGAACCGGTGGAATTAGTCAATGCATTCCCTTGACAGGGTCCAACTGCATCAGAAGGGGAATAAATCAATGGTTGATTTTTGTGAACACTGTTATTTTGAAGAAAAGTGGTGCCAGGAATTCTAAGGTATGAGAGTTTTGTGACCATAAAGGGAAAATGTGACTAATTAGAAGAAGTGGAGATAAAGCAGTGTTCGAGCAAAGGTCAGATTAGGATCTGTAGTTGATTCTGTTAGAGGAAATTGGGATGTGGAAGGAGAATGATTTGCCTTTGGGAGGCTCAGTGTGATGCAGACAGAACAGAAAACCGCCTATGTGATTGATTTGAGTGGCACAAAAGAACACAATCCCATGTTATCTACTTGTGAACCCTGACATAATAGGAATAGACATACAGAACTAAATATTCCAGTTTGAGCACACACCATGATGGACTTGAAGATACAAACTTTGTTAATTGAAGACACTCATACCCAAAAATGCTTCCTTCAAAATAAATATAATCATGTATAAACATCCACAGATAAACTAGTATGGAAACAGATTAGGACACTTATTAAATATATTAAGGTAGAAGTTACAATAGCAAAATAGTTAATGAAGGGTGAACATGCTATGTCTGCTCAGTTAACAGTTTCTTTTTTTTTTTTTTTTAAGATTTTATTTATTTATTTATTTATTTGTCAGAGAAAGAGAGAAAGCACAAGCAGGGAGAGTGGCAGGCAGAGGGAGAAAAAGGCTCTCTGCTGAGCAAGGAGCCTGATGCAGGGCTTGATCCCAGGACCCCAGTGCGACCATGACCTGAGCCAAAGGCAGAGGCTTACCAACTGAGCTACCCAGGCAACCCAACACTTCCTTTTTAATATCAGACTTGAGTTACTGTTTTAGTGCAAAAATATGTGCATAATTTGACATACATATAACATATAATAATAAATATTTATATACTGCCTCCACAACTTTACATTAAGAACTAATATTATAATCCCCATTTTCATAAAAGAACACTCAGCGCAATGATTTGTCTGTGACAAAATACACTTTTATATGCCAACATAAATTATTTTGGAAATAAAGCACAGTAGAAAGTTGTCAATAGTTAAACTAAATAGTGTAAGTTATCTTTGTTTACTGTAGATAATAGACAAATAGTTTAGAGATGCTTATTGGTAATAGAAATAGATGGAGATATATATATATAGATACATACTTCCATTTTAAACCTATTCTTCATGCACTGAAATCTTCCCCATGTGTTGAAGGTCAAAACCTCTGACTATGGTACTTGTAATAAATACTAGACTCTGCACTTCTAAAAAAGAAAAACTTACCCTCTGAAGTCCTGACCCTTTGGCCTCCTCCATGAGCATGTGCAATTTCTTTCTTTTTTTTCTTTTTAAGATTTTATTTATTTATTTGAGACAGAGAGAATGAGAATGAGAGAGAGAGAGCACATGAGAGGGGGGAGGGTCAGAGGCAGAAGCAGGCTCCCTGCCGAGCAGGGAGCCCGATGCGGGACTCGATCCAGGGTCCTGAGCCGAAGGCAGTCGCTTAACCAACTGAGCCACCCAGGCGCCCGAGCATGTGCAATTTCTACCAGTCTGCCTGGTTTCCATGTCATACTGTCTGGTCTATTCCATTATATTATCCATAAATCTCAATTAATTACAGACTTAGAGAAGGAGAGAAAAAGATAGCAGTGTTTTCATACTCTCTTTCTCTTTCAGCATGACTTTGTGGTCAAACTACCTTTGCTGCAGGTAGTGAAAGACCAATGAACTTTTATTTTTATTTATATTTTCCTATTTTATTTAAATTTAATTAATTAATATATAGTGTATCATTAGTTTCAGATGTAGAGTCCAGTTATTCATCAATTGTATACAACACCAAGTGCTCATTACATCATGTGCCCTCCTTAATGCTCAGCACCCAGTTACCCCATCCTCCCATTCTCCCCCCCAGCAACCCTCAGTTTGTATCCTATGATTAAGTGTCTCTTATGGTTTGTCTCCTTCTCTGATTTCGTCTTGTTTTATTTTTCCCTCCCTTCTCCTTTGATCCTCTGTTTTGTTTCTTAGATTCCACATATGAGTGAATCCATATGATAATTGTCTTTCTCTGATTGACTTATTTCACTCAGCATAACACCCTCCAGTTCCACTCATGTTGTTGCAAATAGTAAGATTTCTGGTTAAACTTAACAAGTCAGGAAACAACAAATGTTGGCGGGGATGCAGAGAAAGGGGAACTTTCTTACACTGTTGGTGGGAATGCAACCTGGTACAACTACTCTGGAAAACAGTATGGAGGTTCCTCAAAAAGTTAAAAATAGAGCTACTGTATCACTCAGCAACTGCACTACTAGGTATTTACCCAAATGATACAAACATTGTGATCCAAAGGGGCAGCTGCACCCCCATTTATAATAGCAATGTCCACAATAGCCAAACTATGGAAAGAGCCCGAGTGTTCATCGACAGATGAATGGATAAAGAAGATGTGGTATACGTACACAATGGAATATTACTCAGCCAATGAACTCTTTTAAATCTATATGAGATTCCTAGTGTTCTCCAGTCTTCAAGAAACTGGACAGATAGCCCATGGCAGGATGGGGATAGGATACAGAAGAAAACACAGATTTATTTCTCCATGCTTGCCCTAACTCATAGGAAACATGTGGCTAACTCCTTAATTTTATATTTTGTCTACTCTAAAAAGAACAAATGACATTCTGCTTATAGAATCCTGTCATTATAGTTATCACGAATTTGTTATTATTTTATTTTATTTTATTTTATTTTATTTTATTTTATTTTATTTTATTTTATTTTCTTAGAGTGGAAGGGGCAGAGGGAGAGGTAGAGAGAGTATCTTAAGCAGGCTCCATGCCCAGCACAGAGCCTGACATGGGGCTCAATCTCACAGTCCTGAGATCATGACATGAGCTGAAATCAAGAGTCGGACGCTTAACCAACTGAACCACTCAAGCACTCCTAACTTGTTATTTTAAAACAGAAGAAAAAAGAAAAGTGCATTTGTGTAGTGTTACTACTAGTATTTCCATATGGCTAAAGCATAGGCTGCTCATGGCTGAATGTTAGGGAAGAGGGCTGGTGATTATAAAAGGCTTCCTATGCCAAGAAAAGTGGTCTTGATTTTGTCTTGAAGGTAATGGGAATCATTGACAAATTTTACTATTAAGAGGCTGGATGGAGAAGAAGTTGAGCCTGAGAGTAGAGGAAATAACTTGTAGCAATTCAAGAAAAAGAAAAAGAAAAAGAAAAAACAATTTGAAAGGGCTGCACTCCTACAGAGGGCATCATGGTAGAATATATTTGAGAGTTGTTAAAAACATGTGGTACACATGTCATTTACAGATTAGATTACCAAAATAGAGACAACTAAGCTAAAGTTAAAATATCTTCTGGGCTCACAGAATGTCATGTTAACACAGGCAGGAAATAAAGCAGGAGAAGCCAAGTTTGGAAGAAGAGATGTCATTGTGATGCCATAAACTTAGTTATTAATCTCCTTGTGGAATCAATTATTAACTTTAAATTTGAGTAAACCTACAGAACTGTTAAATGGATTAGTTAAGCAACAAGTGACTCATGCAATTTAAATAAACTATGTTTCACTTGGCATTCTTTCAACAACTACAAAGCCAGCAAAAGGCAACTACTCTCTTACAAGACTCTTTGTAAAAAAAAGATGGTGTTGAATAAGCCTCAGATCCTGCCCTTGAGGCTATACACAATGTAATAGACACTACCACTGAGGTCAGGAGATTTCCTCCAGGTCGAGAAGAGGTGTATTAGAGTGCTGTATTTGCATGGCTACAAATAAATATATTGCTAACATGCAATAACAAAATAGGTACAAATTACTCTGCTTACCATTAACAATAACGATGATATCACGGAAGTCAATTTCTCCCCTAGCCTCCACTCTTCCTTCACACCTGTATATACCTTCATCACTTTTATTGATGTTGAGAATCTGCAGATTATTGTTGGCTAGCATAGCAAAGCGATCTGGAAAGTAAGCAAAGGGGAGGAAATTTTATCAGTAATTGAAAGCAGAGTCCGATGTGCTCTAAACGGCTAAGAGTTAAAATATGGCACTTGTCTGACACTATCAAACTTTTCATCAACAAACAAATTCAAATTTGAAAGTAAAATGTAATTTCATGGCTTCAATTTTTCCACTCCACACTGTCTTGTTACACCTTTTTTCTAAAACACATTCAAGACTTTATTTCTACATAAAATGCTTAGGCTATTATTTTCCCCTTGGTACTTTGAATGCAAAAATGATACACAAAAGAACAATGCTGCGAGATTAGATATTGCAGACACGAAGACATTTTGACTGTAAATATGTAGCAACTTGAGTATGGAAAAGGGTTAGAAAATTGATTGAACAGCCTTCCTTACACAATAATTAAACTAATAATTTTGCATACTCTGAAGAGTCAGCTAAATGGTACAATAATATTCAAGTCACATAAAGGACATATAAAATGGCCATATCTCAAATTTATTTGATTTTTTTTCTAAATGCAGATAATCCACTTTAGGAATGAACAGATTAGACTTAATTTTATTTCAAGATTCCACCTTAGGTATGAGTATATGCACATGAATATACATTAAAAATAAGCTGTTATAGGGCATGCATTAGTTGATTGCTTAAGATAATCTGGCTAGCCTAGGCACCATCTCAACCTGACAGTGTTTCCACAATGTCTGGCCTGAGTTTTTAATCATCACAATTTTGTTGCAGTGTTAAGACCTTTTCCCTTCTTATCAAATAAAGAACAGTGTGACCTCTAGTTCTACTTTAAAACAGGTTGCAAAAGCAATATCTTCAATTTCATTAATTAATACATCATTGAACATCATTTATTTGGTATGTACAGTATTTGAGATACTCTGGTAAATAAGAGAGATACATCCTCGACACCCTTGGACCTTTTAGTAAAGTAGAAATGCCATTAGTTTAAGGTGTTCATCTCTGGGATATTTACTATTATACCATTAAAGGTTACTTTTTGGACCTATTCCAATGTTTACTGCTCTTCCCCTATCTGCTGGTTTGATAGGTTAGGGCAAACATGGAAACCACATGAGAAAAAGATAGAGCCTCCCTCAGTCTAGAGTGCTGAATGTATGCATGGGGTACAACCCTACCCCTACCCCTGCTGCCAACCAGACTTTGTGTAACTGAGAAATAAACTGCTATGATATCAGGCAGTTTGGGGTTCAATTCAGATTTGGAGTTCATCTTCCATAGCGAGTCCTTAATGCAATTCCTAAATGCCATACCAGTTCTAGTTTGGGCTACAAATACAAACAGGAGAGTGATCGGGCTATGGGAGGATTATGCTTCCTATAGGTAAGCAAGATGTAATTAATGAAGAGTGGAAATATGTAGATTCAGAGGATCCCAGAAATAGAAAATATTGATTATAAAGCAATGGACATGATTTTCAGCTCAAGAAGTACAGTAGCCCTCCCCTACCCCCCACTCCATCCACAGTTTGCCTTCTGCAGTTTCATTTGCCTGTGGTCAACCGTGGTCTGGAAGCAGATGATCCTCCTTCTGTCATTTTATCAGAGGTCAATAGTAGCCTAACCCTGCATCACCTCATTGCATCTCATCGCCTAGGCATTGTGTCATGTCATAAAAGGAAAAAAGCTGAATACAGTACAATAAGCTAAATTGAGAGAGAGTGGCCACATTCACACAACTTTTATTGTAGTCTATTTGTATAATTGTTTTATTTTATTGTTAGTAATTGCCGTTAATCTCTTAATTTATAAATTAGATGCTTAAGGTGTAAATTAAACTTTATCATAGGTTTTTTTTTTTAGGAAGAAACAGTATAGGGTTTGGAACTATTTGTGGTTTTAAGCATCCACTAGGGGTCTTGAAATGTATCCCCTGTGGACAAGGGGTCCTACTCCACAAGCTTTCCCATCATGTTTATTTCTTCTTTAGGTTGACCCTAAGAAGAGAGACACAAATGTTCATGAAGATGCTTTCCCCTGGTAAATTTTCCTTTTCTCCAAGAAAAGCCTGGAGAAAAAGAATCTGCAAGAAATTTTAAATTTAAACCCACAAGAAGTCCTGGAGTAACTCAGAACTTATAAAAATTTAGAATGTTTCAAGGTCAATTAAAAGATCTATTTAAGCATGTGGCTGGAAATTAGGGTGGGAAGCAATTACCAATTTAAGAAGTTCAAATTTAGAGAGGGCTGCACATAATCATACCTTGATCACCATAATATTATATTTTTAAATTACTAAAATATGTATTATCCTTTAACTCTAATGTTCTTTAATGGTTATAGTGTATTTAGTTAAAAACTAGTAAGGGGAAGAACTATTTTAATCAGGAAGGCAATACTTGATATTAAAAGGAAAATAATTTGAATGCATATAACACATAATTTGATGGGAATAAATCAGTGTTTCTTCTAATTGTAAAATTTTAGTTTCAAATGGCCATTTTAATATATTACTTCTATCGGCTGGGAGAAAACTATTAGAATATTAGGAAATCAGTAGTTACCTGCTAAATCTAAATACATATCGATGTTTCTAAACAGAAAACAAACTACATGAAAATCACATGTCAAATTCTAGGTAGGTATGTTAAGTCCATGGAATGATGTTAGTAAACTATCAAATGGCAGAAAACATTTGAAGAAAGCACTGCTTCAGTCAATCAGACATAATTATGGATATTAGAACTATTTGATTATCAGAGATTATTTGTTCTCTCAATTATACAGAACTTTAATTATTAAAACCCAAGTTTTCATTATTGCATTCAGAAAAATAAATGAAATAAAGTAATACTCAATAAGCGATCTGCTTTATGCTTCTAGAGACAGATTTTTTTCTAGCCCTCTTTTCTTCTCATTCCCCAGCCACTGATGGTTGGTCTCATTTACTCTTTTGGCTTCAAGCACCATCTATATTTTGAGACACAATTTTTCTTCAGATCAGGCCATTACATGACTATAAAAGTGTTTAACGGTAGACCAGATATAGCTACTGAGAAGGATTGTAAGTACTTTAAAATCAGTAAATTTAAAGTTTAGTTTACTATCTCCACCTGAAATCTCTCATATGGTCTCTCCAGTTCTGTCTTCACATGTCTTTACATTGAACTATGTGCCCAAGTCAAATTCCTTGAGTCATCCTTGACTTCTCCATCTCCCCTCCATCTGCATATCCAATTAAACCCCATGTCCGGTCACTTCCCCCTTTATCATTACTTAGTCTAAATCTCCTTCTCCTTCAGCAATTATTTCATTAGGGTTTGAACTGTTATCAGTGCCTGGAGTTTTGCCTTGACCACCATCCAATTCATTCTCCTCACTGAAGCACTAATACCCTTCTCAAATTCATATCAGGTCATGTCACTGCCTTGATTAAAATCCTTTAGTGATATTCCCTTTGGATAAATTCCAGATTCCTTTGCAGAGATGTCAAGGCCATAATGACTTGGCTCAAACTTCCTTTCCAGTTTCCTCTCTTATTAATCCTTTATGATCAATCTTGGTTTGTATTTATCTATTAGTATAAATATTCTAGTTGCACTTAGTCATAAATTCTCATTATAATTAACTAATTCTATTTTCTGGAAAGCACCATTCATGGTGTCTTTCACCTCCGGGCCGCTGCAGATGGTGTTTTCCCCTCCTGAAGAGTCCTCACCACTCTTTGCCTGGCTAACCCCTTTTCATAATTAAGGGTTACTTCTCTCTTCAGTGGGCATCTTGGACACCCTCCCCTGCCCTAACTAGGTGAGAAGTTCTTTCTTTATCATCCTCTATCATTGCACTTTCCTTCTCATAGACCTCAATATTCCTGTTTTCACTGGTTTCTTTATTAATCTTTTTCTGCTAGATTATTAGCAGTTTGAAGGCAATAAACTTGTTTATCTTGTTAACTAGGACTACCCACCATCCAGTGTGTTGGATGGCATATACTAGGTTTTCAACAACTAGTTAAAAATTGAATGATTTTTCATACTGGAAGTAGATAACATAAAAAAATATTGAACAAGATTATTTTATCCATATTTTTTGATGCAAACAGGGTACTTCACTGGGCAATGATCAAAGCATTTAGAATATTTTAGAGATAACTTTCAAACTGCCTGACATTGAATGAGCATCTACAATAGCATATCCTTCCAATCGGGGTATTCAATTTTTGTAACAAAATGTCATCTTTACTCCCTAAATGTTTGGATTTTTTAGCAGATGGATTCCCTTCAACAAGCAACATGGAAAACCTCCACTTCAAATGTCCTATTGGAATTTTAGTTATAAATATCTGCCATACTGCTACCAAAAGCATGGCTAATAAGATGGACATTTCCAGACCTTCACTATATCATCTGGAGCCTGCAAACTACTCACGTGCCACATTAAGGCTTCAGAAAGTTACCTGGACACACTACATTATTCTAAGTCCCCTTACATGTTCCTTTCATAGTTATAAACTTAATCTTATTCCATTAGCTCTAATAAAGGGGCCATCAGGTATAATCAGGTGAAAAATATTATTTCTTATAAATCCATTATCAATGTACAAATCGTTCAACAATGAACTATGTGGTGAGTTCCTCCAATATTAAAAGGTTAGAAAAGTTTGTCCTTCCTCACAATTCACTTAAATTCTTTATAGCCTAGAGTTAAAAAGGAAAAATATAATTACGTCATTTTTCTTCTTTGCTTTCCCTTCAACTCAGAGCTAGGTTTCATGCTGACTCTAGACTAGTCACTTCCCCTGCACTGGATTTTTTTATTCTAGTTATAACCCAAGTGCTTATAATTCTGGTAACACTGATTCTCAAAATTTAAAAACTCAGTGAGAGGGAAGGAGAAAGGTAAATGTCATTGTGTTGAGAAACTGATATACACGCAAATATTATTTAATTAATTCATTTAACAACTATTTATTATATGCCTCAAGTCTTATTTGAAACTCACAACTATTGTTGAAAATGGTGATAATAACCCACTGTTTACAGGGAGAGAATCTGAATTAGATACAGATCGGTTAGAAAATTCAAAGCTTCCGGGCCAAGGAAAGGAGTAGAGCCATAATGGCATTCCAGCTTCAAATCATCTCGCCCCTGGATACTGGGAAAACGTGTGAGTTGTAGCACAGAGGAGCGCTCCTCCATCACCATCACACTTGACTATCAATTTCTGCTCTGAGGCTTTTGTTCTCTGTGTCTTTTAAAAACTATAATTCATTTCAAAACCTTCATGTAATTAAGGTTTACAATAAACCAGATGTACACTTGAAGCCTAAGATGAGGCAATCTGAAAATGTTTAGACATTGTCATCTAACTGCTATAAAAGAACTGCCTTTTCTTTACTATTGAGGGAAAAATAGCTGAAAATACATTGCACAATGTACTCATGTGATGTGTTAATGAAATATAAAGCAGTTATCCTGAAATAAAATAAGAGGAAATAAAGTATTATTTCTCATTAACTTATTATAATAGAAAAAAAGAGAGATAATCAATAAGTGATAAGCGCTGAAAATGCTGAGAAAAACTGCCTCAAAATTTAAAAAATGCCTATTAATCATGATTATGATATGTTCTCTGTACATACTCAAAAATAGATACTATATGCTTTCTCTCCTTTATGCTGTAAGTTTTAACTCTTAGAAACACACAGTGGAATCATCCAAGATGGAAAGTATTTGAAAAGATTCAATTATTTCATAACTCTCTGCAATGCAGGTGCATTGAAAAATACTCTAAATTGAAAATGCTCCCAATGCACAATGGTAAAGTAGCATAATGTAAGCAAATTATGCTTTCAGTTTCAGATGTCATATTATTCTGGAATTTTAGCTCAGTCTGAATCAAAATTATGAAGACAATTTGAATGAATGTACTTTTCTGTCTATTATCCATATGCATCTTAGCATAATATTTAGAACATGTAGGTGTTTTTGAAGGAACAGTGCCAGAATAATAAATAAGGTTCATATAGCTATTATTTTAAGATTACATAGATGAGCCCAGGGGATGATGTTTGAACTGTAACATGTAGAATTTGAATGCATCAGGACTGATTCCTTCATTTACTTATTATCTTTATACTGTTTGTACAAAATTTTCTTGAATAGGATGGGGTCAGCAAACCTTTTCTGTAAATCTCCAAATGATAAGTATTGCAGGCTTTGTAGGCCACACCATCTGTGTCACAGCTGCTCAACCCTGTCCCCAAAGCGGCCATGGACACTATGTAACCGTCGGGTTTGGCTGTAATCTCATGACCATATAAAGACAGCAGGGGGGCAGCCTGAGGTCCGTGGTTTGCCAACTCCTACTTTAGAGCTGTAAGGTTCTCAAAACAGTTGTTTGATGCTTGGGATCCAAAAAATAAAATTTCTATATGCAGTCAGGTAGATTCAGTATTTTTAAAAATTGCAATATTATGAGAACATATAATTTAGGGAGTTACCAAAATACTAACTGTCGGAAATAGCGGTGACTTCCTCATTATGATACAACCAGCTGACAACAGGGGCAGGTGAGCTGCTAACTCGGCAAACCACTTCCGCATCCTCTCCTTGTTTGAATTCTTGAGGTGATACCACTTCTTTGAAAGTGAGTTTTTCTGTATCAAGAAAGTAAAACAAACCACAAAAGTATTATTGCTCACTTCTCCCGGTAACATATTCCAAAATATGTGCTGATTGATGAGATGATAAAATCATTAGTTAACTCTAGATCTTTTAAAAGCTTAGGCCAGATAACATAATTCCTCTACTTGAGAGCTCCCCATCTCACTGAGAATTAAATTCAAAGTCCTCACAATGCCATACTAGGTCCTGTGTGAACTGGAATCAGCCCCACAACTCTGATCCCAAGTTCTTCTCTCTTTTCCTAGTCCCTGTGATCCAGACAAACCATCTTCTTCGCAATCCCTTGAACACTCCAGGTTTGTTCTCATCCTCGGGCCTTGTGCTCTTTTGAATTCCTTCAGATTTCTGCTCCACCTTCACAGATAAAATAACCTTCCCCCTTCCCAATTCAACTCTCCCTCTCTTTACCGCACTTTCTTCACTACAGAATTCTATAGCATGTATATCTAACATCCATGTGTTTTTCTAAGTTCATTGTTTGTCTTTCTCTACTCAATAAAATAATAAGCACCAAGTGGCCAGTGACATTTTCTGTTTTACTGAGTGTCTAGGACTTAGAATATTGCCTGTCATTAGTAGACACCCAATAAGTGTGTCAATTAATGGATGAACTTGGATATTTATGCTTGTTGAGAAATTTTCACAAAAGCCATTCATTGTTCTTGCAGGGAAAAAAGCCATTTCTTTAGTTTACAAACAAAACACCAGGCACCTTCCTTTTCATCATTCAAAGTAATGAAAAATCTTTCCAAATACTATGTCTAGGAAATGATCACTTCAATTTATTTTTTTTCTATTTATGAAATAGGTACTGTAGGGATCATATAAATAGTTACACTATATTTTCTTAAGGAACTTTGAAATTAACAGGAGTAAGGGCAAAGTCAGGAAAAATGAGGGCAGTAATGTGCCAACAAATTGCACTGGGCATCAAAGAGGAAGTCATGCTGTGGGAATGCTTTGCCTTTTTTTTTCATGTCTTGTTTATACAGTGATAATAATAATAATAATAAAGCTGTCAGGAAGAGATGCCTTGAGTTAGTATTTTAAAATCTTTATAGTTTTTCACATATTTTTCATTTATATGGGTAGAAATACTATCACATATTAATTGTAAGGCATTGTTCTAAGCACTATTTATATAATATTGATTAATGTTGTGCTCAGAACAACTCTACGTATGAGGTAGGTAATATTATTATATCTATTTTATAGATGACAAAACCAAAGAGGTTTTTGTCTTAAGTCATCTATAACCTATATTTGTCACTATAACCTAACAGAGAGGTTAGGCATTTGCTCAAAGCCACAAAAGTAAGTAATAGAGTCTGGTTTCAAGCCTAGGGAGTCAACAGGCTTTAATGTGTTCTTAAACAGGTTCATGATTCCTGGGGCGCCTGGGTGGTGCAGTCAGTGAAGTGTTTGACTCTTGGTGTAGGCTCAGGTCATGATCCAGCCCTGCGTCAGGCTCCTTGCTCAGCCCTGTGTCAGGCTTTCTGCTCAGCACGGAGTCTCCTTAAGACTGTCTCTCCCACTCTGTCTGCCCCCCTGACATTTCTCTCTAAAAAAAAAAATAAAAATAAATCTTAAAAAAAAAAAAAAAGGCTAATGATTCCTAAATGTAAGAAGAGGGAAGGAATGTAGAAAGCAGTCAATCTCAAGTCATAAGATGAAGTGTAAGTGTGGAAAACTTTATTAATGAATATTCTGATGGTGAAGAATCCAGCTAGATATTGTTCTCCACTAGATGAGTTTTCAGTTTTTTCTGTGTCTACTCCTGTTCACCAACCCTTCCTCAATTCTCATTCTAGACTGATCGCTGCTATCATACATGTAATTTCATTTGTTCTCATCCCGACCTTTTATTTTAGTGTGAAAAAGCACTCCCTATAAATTTCATAATAATCTACTGTTCTCTAGTTACCCAACAGATTTTTAATGGCTTGAGAATATTAAAACATTTTCATCTCTCTTATTTAACCAAGAGAATTGGCTCCATCTATGTGTTTATAATAAACTATTTCCTATTATCTATTCTATTTTAGAAATGCACTATGGTAAAGTATAAATAAGCTGATATTTGTAATGGTCTTAGGACATTGCCTAGCACATAGTTCTTCATGAGTGTTAGTTTTAATTAAATGCATTTTTTAAAGATTTTATTTATTTGACACAGAGAGAGCTAGAGAGAGAAAGAAACAGAGAGCAAGCACAAAGAGGGGGAACGGCAGGCAGGGGAGAAGCAGGCTCCCCGCTGAGCAAGGAGTCCAATGTGGGGCTTGATCCCGGGACCCTGGGATCATGACCTGAGCTGAAGGCAGCCGCTTAACTGACTGAACCACCCAGGCGCCCCAAATGCATTTTTTTGTTCAAGTTTTTATACAACCACATTTCAATCAACTAATAAAGGCATGACTTACGGTAAATTTCCAAAACAACTGTAGCTTCTTGTGTCTGTCCTTTGGCATCTGTTGCTTGACAACGATATATCCCTGCATCCTCTATATTTGCATTGTAGATGGTTAATCGTGATCTAACACCTTCCTTTTGCACTGCTATCCTCTGTGTTGAAATTATCTTCTCTCCTTGAGGATTATACCAATCTATACTCTCAGGTTCACCAATTGCTGCAAATAGCCATGGAAAATAAACGTTTGAAAATATGTTTCAAATGTTTGTTTTGGCATTGACATTTACTATTATGTGACAACTTTTAACAATTTGGGGAAAAATGTAAATAAGAGAAGGCTGGAAGTCTGAAAAATCTTACAAAATTGTAAGTAAACACAAATGTTAGCACACATGTTCATCCTTACTTATCCAACGTTGAGAATTCAGTCCCGTTTGCGTAAGCAAAACCCAAAAGTTCTACAGGAAACTGACAGTATGGTATTTAAGCTCTGATAGTTGAAACTCTACCATAGCAATCTATGAATTATTACTACATTTAAGTTATGAAACTGCCTTGGCCACTGAGTCAGACATAAATTAAATGTGATCGATATATCTGAACAGAAACATGATTACTAACATGCTTTCACCTGTTCCCAATTCTCTTTGCCAGGGTCAGGAGATAGGACTTTTTTCTCCAATAAAGCAAAGCTTATAACAATGTAAATCTTATACAAAATAAAACTTTGGCTTTGATACCGAATTTGGAATTAATTTCCTAAATTGTTAAACTTGTACAGATAAAGCTAATTTATTTTTTAAAAAGGAGCCCTAATCTCTTTTCTCAATTGAAATGAATAGTTTCATCATTTTAATCTAAAACTGTTAACTATTTAATCATATGATAATTAGAATGCATTGAAATGATACTTATACTGCTAGGCAATTACAACCAAATCATTACAGGGTAAACATTTATTTTTTTCAATTCAAAATCCAGGTTATTATCCTCTTCGTAAAAGCTGAAGCTTCTAATGTTTGCTTTTACTCACCAAAAGGATGTATTTCACCTAATCACTTGAGAGATAATTTGTGGAAGCAGTATATACTATCAACTCAAAAGTATCGGGGGAAAATGCATAAAGTTAACTAACATCTGCAGGACCACTTTGAAAAACATTGTTCCTTCTTATTTTTTCCTCAAGAAGGGGCTTTAGAAACAAATTATTGTGCTTTCTATATCAAATTAGACATGCTTGAGCAAAAAGTATGAAAGACAGTTTAGTTAAATCTTAAATGGATCTTAGTTATGTTATCTTCAGTTCTTTCTGGACAGAACCATAAAACCATAGTGGTTATGGGATGACTCATTTGCAGGACGTATTTGCTTTGATTCTCCTCTCCCTAGAGAAGTTACAAACAAATAATTTAAATGAGCAGCACTTTAAATTTGAACAGTACAAAACTCATTTTATACAGTAAATTATATTGGACATTCTGTGAAATATTTTGGACATTTTTTTCTTAATAATATGGTATAAAATTTCATTATCATGGAGAGTTTATGCTGGATTTTCATAGAGCAGTCAGTCATGATTCTCTTTTTATGACATCTCTAATAAATAATGATTTCCAGTGAAACTTCCCATGTTATTTTATTAAGACTAGACTACTGGAGATACTAAAAAATAACAGTAAAATTTTTATTTTCTTAAAAATGTGGTATACAAATTCATTTGCTATTTACGATGTACTCTTATTAGCTGAGGGTCTGACCACCTGATAGTGTAAATTTAAGACATTTATTTTATTGAGTTTAGATGTCTATGTTTTAGTATATCAGGAAACTTCAAAGTCATAGCAATTTGGTCAGCATTGTAGTAGGAAAAATACATGAAAGCATTCTGATTTGCAGGGGTTTCCCACATCTTTTTTTAGATCTTGTTTTACTACTCTATTTCATATATATAAGGCCACTTACATGACAACAGTATGGCTCTTGTAAATAAGGAAAATAAAATGTTTCATTATTTTGCCTTATTTTACCAGCAAAACTTAGTACACTAAATGATGTTAATTCATTCTTTTAAATTTTAAATTATGTCTTAATTTGACCTATTACAGAGGTAATAATATTATATAACTTATATAACCTAAATCATTGTGATATGCAAATGCAGGAAAAACAATTTCATTTTCAAAATTCATTTTTAAACTACTTCATTGTTCTGTGAATATGTGACACAATTGAGCTGTGTGTGTGCATGTGTGCATTTGTGTATATAAAATACGAATGAGATTTAAAAACAATGATCTACATTCTTATGCCAAAGCTCTGCTGACATAATAAATGATGTTGAATCAGTATCTCATTTGCTCTCTGCCTTTCTATTTGTCAATATGCAAAAATAGGTATCCACAGACCTATCAATTCAGACCTTTAGGAAGGCAAACATACGAAGAATCATGGCTTCTATTAGTTTAACATAAAATGTGATATTATACATACATAATATCTATAATATGTGTATTATAATATGGTATATGTGATTTGTAAATGTTATGACTATTTCTATTTTTATTAATTTTAGTAATAATTTAAATAAGCCATGTAATTCTCAAGACTTGTATAATGCATTTTATGTCAGAAATGCCTACTTTAATCCAGTTTTGTGTTACTTAAGCATAATCAGGAATACCAACAATTTTAAAATACCCTAAAAAGCAATTCTGGCTCTAGATGAATATTATTTAAAACTTTAGGTATGAAGGCTTGTATGCATAAAAATGAATTTGATGAATATAAATAGAAGTCGAATATGTGCATTTGTGAGCTCTACAGTACTCTGAATTAGAATTTGTTGCTTAAGTATTTAAATGTCTTCTGAAAAAATACTGCAAGTGCATGATTAAACTAAATGAGGTCCATAAAATTTCCCACAGGTATTATGATATACGATAGTTTGATTAATAGTCACAAAATTCTTGCAAAAGTTTTGCTGATTAAATCTCTACTTTTTTTAAATTCACTTTTCATAAGGATGGATTTGATTTGCTTTGTCCCAAAGCTTTCATTCAGGTGTCACTACAGTGCAGTGAGCCGTATCTAATTTATTCATTGCATATTTACAAAGATAATTCAGTTATAATACTTACGTTCATTCTAATATTACTATTTATACAGGAATAATATTTGAATTTATTTAAGTTATTGTGCATACATTACATTTGATAATAAGTTATTTTCAAAATAAATGAGCTAGTTTGACAGTCAAAATTAATAACTTGAAATTAACAGAAATAAAATTCATACTTTTTAACATGCAAAATATAGTTATTAACCTCAAAGCCCAATGATAATATAAGGTTTTATTTTCAGAGAATTGTTTTTCACCATCTAAATTTTGCCAGTATATAATATTAAATAATTAAAGCATGAAACAAGTTATCATCTGAAAATACTTGTACAGATACATACCTGTGCATGTGAAGAATTTAGATTCGCCCACACTAAGCTCTACTTTGCTAAGTGAAATTGTCACTTGAAGAAGAGCTGAAAAAAATATTTAAATCATAATTAAGTATGGCTTTCAACATGAATTCTAAGATTTTATTACATGATCTATTAACTACATGATCCAAACAGCAATTATTTTTCCTGTAAATTTTTATTACCTGTAAAAAGAAATGAAAGTTTTATAAAATACATTCTAATTATAAAATACAATCTAACAACATTATGTCTGTTAACATTAGTATGCAACTCACAACCAGACCAAATACAGGACTTATTTAATAAAGCATGTTGAAATTTGTTTGCCATGTAAATGAGTGAATTCATACTCACTTCCATATTTACATTCTTGGTTATCTATGTGCTAGCTACCACATTGGGCAATAACTACAAAAATTTTTGCCCAACATTTGGAGCCTTGTTTGAAAGAGTATATCCTACACTGTCATAACAATAAAAACATAAACTACATTTTGATTACCTACTAAAATATTTCCATGAAGAGAAGAAAAACATTGTATAAGAAATGTGAATGAACACTATTTTGACAACATAAATAAATTAAGTGAAGGAACCAGGACAATGGTAATAAAATAGAGGAGATGGTCAATGAGTTTGTTGTCAAATTTGAAATAAAATAGCTGAACATTCTAAAATTTTAGAAGATAATTAGAATTATATTTTAATACAAATTGAAAGACTTGTATTTCTAATAATATGGTAGACGAGATAGTGTGACCACATTCCAAAACCTATCCCTCCATCCCTTACTTCCAGATACGTATAGCTGAGCTTTCAGAAAATTAATGGAGCATCAAGGGGGGGAAAAATGAAGAAAAATCTAAAAATCAAAGTATAAAGTGATACCAGAAATCTGTGGACTATAGTAAGCAAAAGGTGCACAGGCTGCACAAAGATGGGGTCAAAACTTGTCTATAAAAGTGGGTGCTATGGAACACCAGATAACACTGGAGCAGAATAAAATTCACCCTTAGTATGAGAAGGGTATAGAATAAATCAGCCTACTGACAAAAGGGCAGTGATAAAGACAGTTGACTCTCCTGGCCTGTGGAGGGGGGAAATGATTCTATTTAAATAGATTAACCACACTCTGCCATATCCCAGGTTTGGGAATTTAATTATAAACACATGTTCTTTGGGAACCTCAAGCTGAGAAATTAAACAAAAAAGCAGTGCCCCAGGTAGGGCTGACAGCTAAGTGGTGGACAAACATAATCCCCTTCCGAGGAACTATATCATTAGCCCACACTGCCCAATATGTTTATAAATTAAGCTCTCTTCAACCTAAATTCATATTCTGTCATAAAAAACCATGGTGAAATAAGGCACTGTGAGCAAGAGTCAACTAAAACATCCAAAACGATAAACAGACCCACAAAATTTCAAAAATGGAATTAGACTCAGAACGTAACTATATTGAAAACATTTAAAGAAATGTAATGTAAAATCAAAAACATGAGAAAAGAAGAAAATATTTATCAAGGAAGATTTGTTGGACATGTTTAAGCTCTTTAAAATACGTTTTCTTGTACTCCCCATCATTAAATAATAAATTCCTTCTTTTTCGGGATACCTCTTTGGGAAACAGGCTGGCTTACATTGTTTTCTTCTCTCCCCTCAGTCTGGGCCCTATTTTTATTCATAATTCCTTAATTCTCAAAGAGTGCTTGGCACATTATAGGGGTCAACAAGTGGTCAAGTCAGTCTGATATTTCAGAGAGAAATAGGTTAAGAAAAGCACAGAAGTTAGATAGAATAGGAAGAAAACTAGTAGACCCAAGGGGCAAGAGAGTTATCTAAAAGATATAAACAAGGCCAGTTCCAGTGAGGACTTTTCCTTTTGAAGAGTAACTAATCCTTCAGGTGCATTTAGTTTAAGTGTGATGGGGTCAACAGAGGCAAATTGCATAAGTTAAGGAAATTAAGACTGTTCCTACAGTAAGCTTGAATATGAAGAGATGGCTGAGGTTTTGGGGATCCACAATTCTGGGCATGTGGTCAGGGGTTTTATAAATTGGGGAAGATATGGGCATACCTAACAGATAGAAGGGAAGGAGGCAGAAAAGACATTATATGGTTGGAAATAAATAGGGAATTGCCATTTTGTTCCACTTTTTCTTTCTTTCCTCCCTTTTCTTTCTCTTTTAAGATATTACCCCGTTTCCTTTTCTCTTTGGATCTTTAGTATGTGCTTTTCCAAACCTAATCCTGTGATTTCCAACCTCAGCTAGAATTCAGTTGGATAGCATATTTTAATTTCAAACTTTCTGAGTGCAAACCAAATTAATTTCCCTTCCACCAAAAGTTGCTCGCTGTTCATAGTCCATTTTGGGGCATCATCAATCAATTTTCAAGTCTTGGAGATACAGCCTCTGAAATATCATTTGCTTGCATTCTTATTTATTTCCAACACTTTTCCCCTAATACATGTACTCATTAATTTTAATGTGAGATGTTTATTTTAATCTCAGATAGTGATATATCAGATTCTATACTTCTTTTTCTGACTTTTATCTCTTCAATCTCTCTTTCCATGAAGTATTTCTCAGGCTTCTGCATGCATAAGTTTCCAAAACTGTTTAATTTCACCTGCCTGCTTCAAAAGTCCTCAAAGTGAATTTGCTTAGCCCAATTAGTTAATTATTATACAAATTTTAATTGAAAGAAAACTTGCCTTTCCAAGTTTAGTTCCAATTACTCTTTCCCAATGCTCTGCAGCTACAGACAACCACAATGAATCATCCCTGACCTTTTTCATGGACTCTTTTACTTTCCTGCCCCCATGGATTCACTCAAGCTATTTCCTCTGCTTTTCTCTCCCTTTCTCACATGTCCACATGGCTGCCTATCTTCAAAGCAAGAGTAAAATATCAATAACTTTACAAAACATTCTTTAATAGCCTCCTCTATGGTATCAACAAATAAGTATCTTTGATCAGTAGGCGTTTTCATTAAACGAATGAAACTTACATAATAGCTAATTATATTAATTTCTCTACCTATTTAAATGTAAATTTCTAAAAGTGAAGGCTCATCAACCTCACTTCTGTTTCTCCTTTAATTAAACTGATAAAATATGAATGCATGGCAGAACAATGCATAAACACTTACCAAGAGCTTATTGTACAGTATGGATAGAACACTGACATTATTGACAATATCAAATTGTGGAATGACTTCATTGCCTAAAAATAATTTAAGGATATCAGACAGTTTGAGAAATGTCTGTCAATTATTATTTAAATACTTTCCATCTTTGGTCTTTGTAGTAAATTTGCTTTTCTTATAGAAAAGACAAAACTTGAAGGGTGTAAGCACTTTATATGTTAAATATAGTTCTGGATAAATTTACACTGATTTGCTGATGGTTATAATAAATAACCTATTCATTGTAATAAAATGAAATTGAGCCTGAAATTAATTAGTTAATTTGTATTAAGATACTTGGTTAATTTTTCATTCAGTAAAAACTATCAATTCACCCATTAATCAAGACCATATTTTTCATGGACATTTTGGTGACCTGACACATTGCTGTAATTCAGTTATTAAAGTATATAAAGAAAATACATATTTCCCAAAGGCTAGATTTGCTCTAATTGACCTCTACAGATACATTAAAACATGTGCATATTAGGAAAAACCTGGAGAACTAAAATTTAAGGTCATTTCTTAATCATGGCTCTAGTGATTTAACATCCAAAGTTTCTTGTAATCGTTCTTGACCCACAGCCACCTTGAACAGTCTCATTTTGGACCTAAATGTCAGAAGAAAATTAAAGTTTTGTACTGTCAAAAGTTGTGCTCACGGGTGCCTGGGTGGCTCATTTGGTTAAGCGACTGCCTTCGGCTCAGGTCATGATCCTGGAGTCCTGGGATCGAGTCCCACATCAGGCTCCCTGCTCAGCAGGGAGTCTGCTTCTCCCTCTGACCCTCCTCCCTCTCATGCTCTCTGCCTCTCATTCTCTCTGTCTCAAATAAATAAATAAAAAATCTTAAAAAAAAAAAAAAAGTTGTGCTCAGAGAAAAGTGGACAGGCCTGATACATTTGATAACACCTAGTTAATCTCTCCATTTTTGGTTACACACAAAAAAATGAAAGTGGATAGTAATATGAGGCCTTTATTTCATTTAGAAAAAATAATAATAAGCATTTCTAATTACAATTTCCATTTAGGACTGGAATTTGAAAATAAAATGGCATTCACTGATGCTGAACAATCTCATTTTGATGTTTTACTTTTTTATGTATTTGGAATAGGTATAATAACTTTAAAGAAAACCGTGAAGGGTATAATATTTCATAGATTCATTTCTTATAAGGGCCATTATTGATTAAATAATGACATTCCTTATAAATCAATCAATAAACTATCTTTTTGTATTAGAATTAGGGTAGAATAGTTGAAAAAATGCCAGTACCTTCATAATAGATTTTTTTTAAGTAATTTCTACACCCTAGCTTTGTGGGGTTCAAACTCACAACCCCAAGATCAAGAGTCACATGCTCTTCTGACTGAACCAGCCAGGCACCCCCTTCATGATAGATTCTCAAAGTAAGAAAAAGCTTTAACCCATAGACTAAGAAGTGGAGCCATGGTAAATCTATATCCTCTGTAAATTATTCTCAAAGAAATCCATGCAATATCAACCTTAAAAATAGAGTTAGGTAAATTAAAAATTGTCAACAAAAATCAGTATTTATTAACTATATGCATTTCAAATCACTTTTTTAAATGCAACGGTATACAAAAATAATAAGCCACAGTTCCAAATGTCAAAGGAATTACAATTTATTTGGAAAGACTAACACTACATAAAATGATAAATGATAAAACAAGATGGCATATATCAATTATGGCCATCATGAGATTTATAATCAGGAAGCCTGCACAGAGGGCAATAAAATTTGAAAAAGATGTGATAGATATTGTAATAGACAGAAAGAGGGTAGACATTCCAAGTAAGGAATATATATGCTGCTGGACATTCCAGATAAGGCAAAAGTATTCAAGGAA